TTAAAGTATGGCATGAATATCTTTACATACCATTTTCCAATTTTTATAATTTGCTTGATGTTGATTTTGGATATGTGTATAGTTTAATTAATGTCAAGTAATTGTTGATTACTTGCAGTTATGTTGTATGTTAATATATTGTTTTAAAAGAACTGTAAAAATGTTTTAAGTTATCACGGTTTTAATAAAGAAGAAACATTAAACAATATCAACGGGGAAATTTAACCGCATTAGGAAGACAGGAAGTGAGTGTTACACAAATAATGAACTCTTTATTGTACTTTGTAAAAGGACATTTCAGCTTGATGGTGTCATTTAATGTGTTACTTCATAGATAATGTCAATTTTGCACTAATTTTTTTTTATTTTTATTTTGCAAAATGATGCACTGTTGAATTTACATCATAGTATTTTTGCAAAAGCATTGAAGATACATTATTTTTGTAATTACGAAAATACTGTTTATTATAGGTAGACAAAAAATGTAAAAAGATGTTAATTAAACAGGTATAGATTGTTATATATGCATACCAAATTTGACAAACAGAAGGTGACATAAAACTGTAATTATAATTATCTTAAATGCTGCATATGGCTAATTATTACCTAGAAGCTAAGATATCAGATATCATAAGTTCAGTAGTGTAGAACGATCAATCGAGTTTAAGACAAGCAAATTAATGAAAGGTAAACTCTCAAGTTAAACAGCCTGTCTACAATGTGCGTATGACGCCAAAATAAAAACCATCACGTTGATAGGATAAGGATCTTACACCAGCTACTGGAACATACCGTAATATCTAGCTCGAGGGAAACTGATTACGGCGTTAACGAGAGCACGATATTCCGTCCGTGACGATGACCGGTGTTTGATGTTTTTCTTGCATATTAAATATTAATTATCGTATTTCGGAAAGAAATTACAAAAACTAATAGTTTCAAGTAGTACTTTTGTCCTATAGTAGGGTATGAATTTGTAACTTCATTTACAATAGGAAAATGACGTCATCTTAAGGATGCAATCCATTCATAATGGCCTCGATCTGGGGTGTTATACAGGGTTTTCTAGCACCAGTGTAAATAGTAGATATTCCTGTTTGATATGCAAGATATATCAAACAAAACCATTGAAACACCCGAAAGGATGCCATTTCGAAGATTTTTCTTTAGTACATAGATTAGAAAAACAAACATACTTACGAGAAGCATCAACATCAATTGAATTGTGCTTATGTCATTTATAACATGTATAAATGACGATTCCACAAAATTGTCATTATATATAATTGACCAGGTAAAACGGTGAAATAACATGTTTTTTACACAATGATTAAATAATCTAATTATTTAAGCATAACCCAGCCAATATACTCTATATACAAAACATATACAAGAGAAGATGGCGCATTCAAAAGCAAATTCAAAAATGTAGAAAGTGTTAGATGCCAAAACATAAACAACATAATGAAATAAATTCTAACATCAACTTTGATCAGTTGAAAAAGGGACACAGGAAATAATAAGTACCCAATGGTTAATAGAAATAAAAAAAAAATCTCTGTAAACCATAATTCAATTGTTCAATGTTTATACCTATTTTGACCGCACTTAAGTTTATTTTGAAACTAACGAAGACAAGTTTAATTCGAGGAAATACGATCCTGGACGAAAATCGACCATTTCGGAATAAATAGCAAAACCGGTGTCAACATACAGAAGCTTTTAAAACTGCTTTGTTATCTAATGATTGTTGTTATGGAAGAAGTGCTTTTGTTAAAGCAGTGATGTGTATGAAACTACATAATATATTTTATTTCGTAAAAGTGAAAGGTATTCTTTTTTCCATAAGTTCACAGGGTCTTCTTTACAGAAAAAAAGGGCTCAATACCCCTACCCAATCAAAATGTCCAGGAGATTATTGCGTGGCATGGACATTTTTTGATCGGTGATTTGTTTTTCTTTACTGTATGTAATGTGTATATAAATTAATAAAAAATATAAAACAATTTTCTCCGGCCGACCGTTAAAACACCATTTGTTTTCTTCCGTCGTGGATACTTGTTTCCATTAAATAGGACGAGATTCATTAGAGCAACATAAGGCCCAAAGCCCTATCCTAAGCAAAATGTACGGGAAATTTACGCATGGTATGGTCGGTTTTTGTTTTTGTATGTTTTGGACTGGCGATGTGTTCTTTCTGTATATAAAGTGTGTACTAGAGACAAATGTTAAAGGCACTTTTGTCTGATTTTCGTTGCGAATTTCTTTCTTTCCATTAGTATGTTCGGTCCGTCAGTACAACAATAAAATGGCACAAAGACCTAAACTTAAGGGAAATGTGCAGGAGATTTCCGCTTGGCATGGTCTTTTGTTAGATTGGCGAAATAGCTGTTTTCTGTATATATAGTTTGTATATTGATTAGATTGGCTTAATTAGAAAAATACAATATCGGCTATATACGTAATAGATTATAATTCTACTGTAAAGTGAAAGTAGAAATGCTTGCAATCTGTAAAAATATCAAAAACTTTTGTCTGACATTGAATTCAGTTTTATGTATGAGTTTTGGTTTATTCGCTTTCTTTCCAAAATAGTCGAAATAGACGAAAAAACTTGTGTTCATGCTTGAGTTATGAAATATCATGCATATTTCAGATAAAAATGATAGCTGAAAGAATATCAAGATAAAAATTGTGTGCATATTAAAAAATATCAAATTTTCAGATACAATTAAGCAATGACGAAGTACGGAAACAAATAATTAAAAAAGTTGAACAAGATAAAATAAATAGGAACAAAATATATATAATTAACGGTGAAATAATGAAAGAAGCCAACATGTACATAAGGGTTTAAATGTCTGGCTTTACGCTGAAAAAAAAAACTTGTATATCGTTATTTTAAACGTAGTGCATCATTATGAACCAGGGAAATGTCAACCTAAATATTGATAAAGAATACGTGATGCGTGTAACGTATTGAATTGTATACATTGCGAAAACAGAAATTCATAAAACATAAAATTAAAATAAACATTTCGCAAAAATAGTGAGCATTTAAAAAAAATGAGTGATACTCATGTCGAAATGAAAAATGTAATAGTACGCTGATACAGTTTTGTCCAATGCAAAACAGTACTCCTTTAAATAGATGGGCGAGCGGTGGCCTAGTTTTAAGGTGTTTCCCTATCAACCCAAAATGTTAAACATATGCATTTGAATGTTTTTATTTACTTTGCAATAATTTTAAAACTCGCTAAATTAATCGTGCCATTCTGAAGTAAATCGTGCGACCATTTTAAAGTCATAAAATACTCGGCTGCTATTCAGCCGAATAACGGAATATGGCAGCAAAGGCGTTCCATTCGATTTATTCTAATTTTATCATGATTAATTAAAAAGCAGCACAATGTTAGGTCGAAATCTATGTCATTGTCTTTGTCTATGACGTAGAAGTATGTCATGTCTTATCTTATGGAACAATAGCGAATATGAGAAAGTTATATACATATGTTGACGAAATAAGTTAATAGAAATCATGGTTAAAATAGAAGACCCCTTTCAAAATTGCGCAATAGTTCTTAATGTCCTTTATGATCGCTTTTATCTGTAAATACTGACATTATACTAAGCCTGAAACTCGTGAACATTAAACAAATTTTAAGAAAACTACTTATGATCGACCTTATTATATACATAATGTACTCGATGCCATACCTTATCTTACATGTATTATATGATAAGAGCTGATAGGGTCACAACCTACGTCATTGACAGCCTTTGTTATCTGCGCCTAAAGACTTAAACTTGTTGCCTCTGAAAGGAAGTGCAAGATGACAAAAATGAGGGTAGTTACTTAGTAATACATATATTACAGCAGAAATTGAATATAAATTATATTCTGAATAAATAATAGAAGTAATTGAACATAATCATATTCTGAATAAATCATCGAAGTAAATGAATATAAAAAATATTCTGAATATATTATAGAATGATTACAATATGTCCTCTATTTTGTTACCTGTTTTCTTGTTGTTAAAAAGGGTATATTTTCATAAAACGTTAATACGAGTATTATAATGAATAGTCTTAGTCTTGATAAAGACTGCTCATGAGAGAAAAAGCAGCATTTGACATTAACTTTGTTTATAAAGCATTAATCAATTTTCTTACCTAGAAAGTTCAACATCAACAACACGTCGTATTTTATCTACGATTTTAACGATTATAGTTGATAATATGAATTGCGTATAATTTCAGATGACGCATTATATATATTGATTTTGATAGGCCTTAGGGTTCGCAGGTTTGTTTCTGTTATTGCCTTTTTTAAAATTTTATTTCCAAAAAACAAATAAAACTTTAATTTCTTTTTCTTTTTTTGTTTTTAAATTCATAAAATAAACTTTAATGATGAATAAAATACTTAACCTTTACTTACTAATCTTAAAGTTTAGTTTTATTATATACCTATACATGGTATTCCTTAAATTCACGCAAATTTTGAAGCCCGAATGCTCTTCAGCGAATAGGAAAATTTTATGTCAGTGACGAATAAGGTTCCATATATATATATAAGCACCAGGCTATTTTTCTCAGTTGGTTCCAATCTTAGTTGTGCATTATGTAGTATTTGGAAACTTGGACAAATACATTTAAGGCGTGGCAAAAAAAAACAACATAATAAAAAGGAAAATTATGTTGTAGTGTCTTTCTATGGCGATATATTTTGCTACTCGCATCGTGTGAAAATTGATATCACGCGAGACCGAATCAATTTTCCGACGCTGCTAGCTCGTAATCAAATACGAAGCATCAGGAAGCTACTAAAACGTAATATGTAATTATCTAATTTATGGACATTTTCAGAATCACTTCAATGTTACAGCTGCTCAAATGTTGCCAATATAGATGGATGCAATGCCACAAGATCATGTTCCGTTGGTCAGGTTAAGAGGAGAAAAATACATTTTCTTAAACTTAAATCCTTTTAAATTTTTTCTTTGATCCTTTGTTATGCGTGCAAGGACCGGGTATTTTAATGATGCGTTCCCAAAAAGGCAAAACAATACATGGCGTAAGGACACATTCTATTTTTTTACCAAATAAACTGATAGAAATTCAGAATGTCTATTTTAAGCTAAATCAATGTTGATGTAAATGTCCAGTATTTCCAGAGCTTTGTTGTCAATTTTATAACTTATTTCATGTATAATTTACATAATGTTACATTTATAGTCATGCTACAGCAATGTATCACTAGGAGAACAAAGTCTTGGCTGTGTTGACAATAAGGTAAATGTTCTCTTTATACATAAAATTCATTACCCAATAAAATCGTTCTGGTGGAAGTTCTATTCTTAGCATAATCTATATTCTGTCTAAAACCCACTTATGTTAATAATTTGATTAATCTGTTGGAAAATATGACTTAAATACGGACTAAACATCATTTGATAGTCAATATTCATCATAAAGACACAATACTGCACACATACGGCAGAAACGTTTCACATCAACTGTAGTCAATAGTCTTGAGAATTTTAATTATGCTGGAGGAAGCATGCTCATGGAGAGATATGTACCATAGCAATATTTGTTTGGAAGCATAACATTGACTTGTATAAGTAATGGTATTTTCCTGTTATGACTGAGCAAATGATGATTAAATTTTACAGATCCGCTCAAATAGAATTTTAAAAAGAAAGTTTTGAATGTATCAATTTATTTTGTTTGAAACATTTTAGAGATGTGATTCACATGCTGCCGTTTCTACAATAGTTGGTCGAAGTGTTGTTGCTAGGAAAGCATCAACGTGTTTCGAATGCTGTTCCACTGATCATTGCAATACCGCCCTATGTCACAATACCGACAGTAAGTATAACCACATGTTTATACACGAATTTATTCATATCTAAAACTAAGAAAACTTTTTAAAACTTTAATACCCCGACGAACATCAGCATTTCAAATGACCGTTAATAAATATCAGTTGCTCTTTGTTTCAATGTACAACATTAAAAGATTGATTTCAGGCTTGTAAAAATAACACTTTAGGTTAAATTTCAACTACTGTATATAAAGAATAAATGATGCATGTAACCACTATTAGTTTAACGACATTAAAGTTAATATTTATATAGGATTGTCTAAACACAATCCATCTTTTTAATCATTATTTTAATTAACGTAGTTCTATCAGCACAAATGCTTCAAAATATCTTACATATATCAATTATTTTAAACAAAGTTTTCAAATAATGATTAACCATTTATACCATTTCATAGGATTGAACATTATTTCGGTCCACTACTGTAAGACGACTGTCAATAAATTGGTACAATTACTGATACAATTGTATGTAATGTTTTAGCTAAGGTGTGTATGGATGATGAATCTGTGGATTGTGCAAGAATGAACTCTGTATTCAGTATATGTAGTGATATTCCGCACGCACGAAATGTATGCCCAAGCTTTTGTGAACTTTGTGATGTTGGTATGAACTTTTTGTGCTACTTTCAAATAAATTTTGATGGTCTGACTTTAACGCTGGCTGACTGGTTATCATAAACCCTATACACATGTTGCAATAGGGTGTAAATGAACAATTCATACATGATTACAGATATGTATGAATACAGGTATTAGCTTACAGTAGCATGATTATCTTACAAAATCTAGAGACTGTACTTTTTTCTGCAAAATTCTATCAAATTGTTGACTTACAATCGGAAATCGGATTATAAGTTGGCTGACCATTAAACAATTATCTAGTTCGAGGTGCAAAATTTGCAAAAGGTATATCTTTAATTATTATCTAGTTAAGCAAAGAGCAGATACTGCAATATAAAGAAATATAAAATGGTTTAATAACATAAAACATGCATAGTTATGTAGTTATAGCAGATGATATTATCATTTAATTGGTTAATTAAGTGACGAAAAAATCTTTATAGTAAGACTGTTGCTAGGTAGAAATGTTTTCCTCTCGCTAATATCCATATACAGTTGACGGCAACTGGACTTTATGGTCGTCTTGGAGCACATGTGACGTAACCTGTGAAAATGGACACCAGACTCGAACCAGGACTTGCACAAATCCGGCACCAAAGCATGGCGGTCTCGATTGTGTTGGAAGTGGAAGTGACACGAGAGGATGCCACAAACAACAGTGTCCAGGTCTAATTATTTACTTTTCATAGCCTGTTTAAGCTATAATCCGGAAAACTGCCACATAAAAAAAATTATATCACTCCACGTGATTTTGTCCCTATAGACAAAGAAGGAAAAAATTGGTGTTAAAACTGCCAATAAACACTGGTTAGGGACTACTTGTATATGCGGCGGTAATGTTTTCACCCTCGATTATATAGTTTACAAAGCCTTTTAAAGCAACAATATTTTTATCTATTTTTTCAGTTCTTATAATGTTTTCTTTTCATAAAATACCGAAATAATAACTCACATACACTAACGCCACATATTTGATTCATAAATATTTTGACAAAACAGCGCCAATCCATAAGCGACGTAATAATGTAAACAACTCATTCATAAACAAGCTGACGTTATTTTATACATACAAGAATGATAAATGGGACACTGATGTAAACACTATACGACGTAAGTTTTTATTGATGAAAACTTAATAAAATAACGTTTCTTCATATTATTTGTTTTGTTTAATAATTTCTTTATCTTCGCAATGGTAGGGTGCGAAGATCGAACAGCGTTATACAAAAATCGGCACCGGAAGTTATTTCCGCTTGTAAAAATAACATTAGTGGTCTTCCTTATTTTATCGTATTAGAATCAAAATAACATTGGCCTGAGAGGTGTATATCGGCTATTAAACACCTGTTTTGTCGTTTTGATGCGAAAAAATTAACCGCTCAGGCCTACGGCCTTCGTGGTCAATTCCTACGCATCAACACTCCAAACCGATGTAATTTCTTTAAAAAAAAACACTTTTTAATATACAAGTAAAATTATTCTTTGCTTTGAAATTAGAAAACTTATTCAATGATTATAACTATCCTATTTGTATTGCTTGATTTACAGTTCATAGTGGATGGAGCGTATGGTCACAGTGGGGAACGTGTTCAGTATCATGTGGCATGGGCTTGCAACGTCGTACAAGGACTTGCTCTAATCCGCCTCCAAGTCTTGCTGGAAATCATTGTTTCGGAGACAGGTCTGAAACACAACTGTGTATGCCAGCTCCTTGTGCAAGTGTGTATTTAATAATAAAATTAAATCTAATTGTTTGAAAGTAAAAATTCTAAAAAAGTTTATCAATAATTAGCGATTAGTTGTTCGCAAAGCAAAATAAAAAACGGACAATGTTTTGCTAGGAAACCAATAAAACGAATATATATTGTTTTCATTTTTTTGTATATATCAATATACATGTATATACTTTCATTGTTTATTACGCTTATCATATTTTACAGATGGTGGTTGGAGTGACTGGACGTCATGGAGTTCATGCAGCGCAACTTGTGGCGGAGGAATTAGGTCTCAATCGAGGTCGTGTTCGAATCCTCCTCCTTCACCTTATGGGCAATATTGTCTTGGGTCACATGACAGAGTTGAATCATGTGCAAATTATAACTGTGGTAAAACATACGACAAAACTTATAAGATAATTTATACTATAGAAATAAAGTGTTTGTGTTCATTACCTGGATAATACACTTTGACGTCAAACATATGCAATATCTTTATCTTTAACTAAACATAAAGTTTGTGATAAATAGTACTTACTTTGAGGTAATGGACAGTTAAGATTATCTGATTAAAGATCTGATTGTAATCACAACTCCAACGATGAATCACAAATTCAACTCGTCGTCATCTTATTGCCTTTCTTGTTCATATGATACAAAATACTATGATGTTTTGATAAGATTGTTTACATTAATGATGAATTATGTTTTAAACTGCTCTAATATTACATGCCTGAATACACATATTATTTCCCTTACAGAAACGAAACACTGCGCGACCAACCCGTGTGTGCACGGTCAATGTTTTGAAGTTCTTCACGATTTCCTTTGCCCTTGTGACCATGGTTTCGAGGGTCGTTACTGCAATAGTTGTATGTGCTAATTAATAATTTGATATATTATTTTTTATATTCCATAATATCTTGATATTTCATATAATGCAAACATGTGCTTGAATGTGTTAGAAAATGCATGGATCGGGAAATGTAATTAAATTGAGATTTTGAATTAAATCATTAACACTATTTGCTTTTGCTGCAATTGCTAAATCAGAAAATATTTATCCTTTGTTAGTTAAAATCAAAATTGACAATACTATTTCCTTATTTATCTACTTATATTGTTTATTTTGGCTTTTATTGTAATGTCTTTGAATTAAACTCAGTCCAACGCTTATGAGAACAAAAATATATTCACAGCAATGTGATTTTGTTATGTTGTTATTCACTTAAAAGGTATAAATTGGAATTAGTTAAAGACATGTGTTATAGTTACAAAATTGTGTAGAGTTACAAATAGATATATAGCCAGAATGATCTTTAAATTCATGTAAAACAATTGGGACCGAGCTTATTTGAATACAGTATTTATTTTTTATTCATAAAAACGTATTGAGAATAGACTGTCAGCCTTTAGTCAGTTTATTATATTGTAGCTGAGAGTCATTGCCAACCTGACCCATGTATCAATGGCACTTGTGATGATGGGTAAATGATTACACTTGTAACTGTTATCATGGTTTTGAAGGACGACATTGTAACACTTGTAAGTATTGGTAGAATTTAAATACAACGTGTGTCTTTTACTAACGATATTTATGCTGTAATGGCACTTACATACACATTTGATATATGTCATGTTTGAAAGTCTATATCAATGAATTTTAATGCAAAACTGTAGCGTATAACTTTAAATGAAAGAGGAGAAAACAAAAAATAATGAAAAAGTATACTTTGATTTGACATACTATGCGCAAAAGTTTGCAACGTGTACTTTATATCTACTTTTAACTATCATTGATAATGATCAGGTCAGATTTTATCGTATTTTGTTCTAGGGGAAATTGCTACACAGGCTGCAATATCTGGACATAGAATGTGGCATATATTTTAATGTGGAGGGTCATTATCAACAGTAACATTAAATACTTCAATTTGTCAAAATCTTTACTTATTCTTCAGCAAGTTCACCATGCAAGTCAAACCCATGTAAACATGGTCAATGTTATGAAAGTAAAACCGGATATTATTGTGCTTGTGAAGATTGTTTTGGTGGAAATCAGTGTGATATATGTAAGTTTATTTTAAAATATGTGGATATATTCGATAAACATAGAGGATATTAAATGAGTGTAGGTTTCATACTAAATTTATTGAATGAGTTGAATAAACTCATATTATGCGAGTCTCTGGCAAATATTATAATGTTTTATTCAACGAGTTCAATAAATTTAGTATTAAGCCGACACGAATATGATATTCTATTTATCACATAATGTAAAGAAGAACGGTAAACTGTTAAAACGAGTATTTTTCATTTTTTTCATTTAAGTGTATACAGTGTAACGCTTATATAAGGGCGCTTTAACGCTATGTTTATACATAACGCAAATGACCTCACATCAAATTGTTATTACACTAGTGTAATATCGTTTATATTATATGGCTTTTACACTCCCGCACCGCGGTTTATGTGATAACCATTACTATTAGATACACATAAAGTCATACACAGTACTTCCTAAAAACTATGTTTCAAACGAGATGGCATACGATAAATGCATTCATATTTGCTGTCACTTTGTTATTCAAAACAGTTCTATATTTATTGAAAACAAATTAACATATGCAATAATTCAGTAATTCAGTCAGTACGTCTCTTACCCGTTCTCCACTTGTGCAACTTGTAGAACCAAAAAAATGTCATAGCAATTTGATTAGTGTTTAATTGGTATTTTTAGTTTGGTTTTGTTTTAAGGCGCACCAACATAGTTTACGTTATATGGTGCCGAATCAAGAAATATGATTTTGGCTAACGTCAGGTGTTACAAAGATAAGCAACACCAGGGGTCAAAACCACCTAACTTGCTGGAGCTAGGAGATACATAGACTCCAATAACACGCAGTGTAAAAACAGTGGCTGCAATTCTGATGCCACAACATGTTAAGGCATCCCCTCAGGAACCTTTTGGAAGTGTTATCGTTTGACTCAGTTCAATACTTCTTTATAAATATAGTTTTAGCATTCACACACCAACTAGATTATATAGGGGTTAGTTTCAAATTAATCAATTAAGACATCATTATCAATACATAAGAAAAACCATGAAAGCGTACATTTAAATCATGAATCTTGATATGACCAAACATTTAAGAGGACCAATTTTACACTTTAATAGTCATGCATTAAAATGAATCTGAAATGTTTTACTGCAAAGAGGAAAAAATTAGAGAGAAATAAATCTAAAGGGAGACACAGGTAAAATGTTCACTTCTTCGTTTTGAATTTTTCATTCATTATTCTGTAAATGTCCTCTAAAAGAATACACTAGGCAGTCACATGAACAAAACTGCTCTCCATATTAAGAATAAAATGGTGGTTTTCTAACTTGACCCGCGTGCGTCAGGTAAAAGCGTTAAGATTTCACAAAAGTTGTCACAGTGAATTCTCGAAACGTTAAAGAACATGCCAAATGAATATCTTAGACTTGTTTCAATTCTACAATATCCACAATATCGGTTATTTTAACTTCCATGGTTTGTTTAAGGTAGAACGCGACACTTTGCGAACTTTCGAGTAGCGTCTTGAAAACTGTCATGCAGAAAGTTGACAATATTTCTGATTAGGTTCCGTTGATTTTATTTCAATAGTCTCAGCCAACACCGAATGCTGTAGAATTTAAGATATTTTGTCCGCCTAAAGCGTTGTAATACCCGTAACAGTTGCCAAGGATACGCAACGACGTCAGGCTCAAAAAACGGGCTTTGATGGTCAACTTTGACGTCGTGTGTACATAAATTGGCTGCAAATAGTCGAATAAAATCAACGTCTAATCAGCAATATGGTCAATTTTCTGCATGCCAATTTTAAAGACGCTACTCGAAAGTTCGCAAAGTGTCGCGTTCTACCTTAAGTAACATGACTTGTTTTAAAACTACTCGGTGATTCTGTTGCCGTCAAAATTTCGTTCAACATATACGGATATATTTACTCTTCAAATCCAAAATAAATAGACTTTATACAGACATTTCTGCTGGGACTTAAACAATGTCATTGAGCGTGATTTGAGTACGTAAGATCATTTTAATAGTTTCGTCATTAATTTGCCTGAGTATACCTTTAAAGAATAAATGACAAATAAAAAATGGTTTTAGATATATTCAAATCTGCCAAAGAAGTAGTCTGTAAATAGTGCTGAGATAATTGATGCAGTCACCTAAATATCATTGACACCGGCTCATTTAATTGTTTATTGATCAATTTATTATTTTTCTTATATAATTTTCTATATAAATTAAACATACAATCTAGAAATTGAGTGGTTCCATTTCCCTTCACAATTCATTAAATCGCCATTTCTGTTAAACATATCCATACAAAGAAAGTAGTCTACATTGTATTAACATTGGTGACATTTTGTATTTAAGCGAACTCTTATTGCAAATCAAGTCCATGCAAACATGGAACATCCATATCTGGAGTTTCTGATTATACATGCAGCTGCAGTGTAGGCTATCGTGGGAGGAACTGTGATGTCAGTAAGCGTGTTTATTTCCCATAATCTTTGTTTGAAGTTTCTCTGCGTTGTTAATCCCATAATGATTCAATTTATTTTGTGCAGTCATTTTGTATTCCGAACTGCGTATAACAATAAGGACAGCAATACTTAATAAAAATATATAATACGAATTTCCTACGAATGAATTGCATAATATGCATGAACTAAGTCATTTCAATTGTACAGCTAATGCAACAGACTGTTACGACATTCTGCATAGAAACATTGGACGTAAAAATGGGGTGTACAATGTGACATTATGGAAATCTAAAGTGGTGAAAGAAATATACTGTGATATGGAAACAGACTTGGGCGGATGGACGGTATGTGGACGGTATGTGACACACTTTTTACTGTTAGTAAAACATTGCAAGCTCTTTTCAAATATAAGTAGTTGTGCTTATTCCAATAATAAGATTTGGACAAAAAATGAACAGAACTGCAACATTTGTACACCTTTGATACACCAATGCATCATTTGTACAGTTGTTATCTATTATTGGGAAACAGTCAGCGATATTTAATCAAAATATTTTCATTCACTCCACTGAAAAAGTGCAAAATAACATTACATAGAGAATGTACTTCAGGCTTTAAAATGTATATAATTTCTATCTGACTAAAAGACTATTCTTACAGGTTTTTCAAAGTAGGTTCGACGGTTCGGTCAATTTCAGCAGAAAATTCATAGAATATATTGACGGATTCGGAAAGTACACAGGGGAATTTTGGTTCGGTAAAACATTTCTAAGCCTTTTAGCACCCTTGTTCAGCAAGGCAGTAATAATAAGAGTATAATTTATTGTATCAGCCAGCTAATAGTTTAAATAATTTAATGATAAGGATTTAAGTTTGAAAAAATGCTCCAAAATTGAGGATAGTAAGGAACAAAAAGTGTGTGATACAAAAGTTATGATAGTGTCTCTAATTATATCAAAATGTTCAGCACTATAGTAAGTCATGATAATATCATGAAAATGATATGCCAACGTAAAATATCAATAACAAATGTCAAGTGCCGTCATGAAAGGTACTAGTATAAAAAACAAAGCTGCTTTCGTCACTTTCTAGGATTAAATTATTTAGAAGAAATGACTAAACAAGGAGTTACTGAACTCAAAATAGAATTGACAGCAGCGGACAATACTCACGTTTACGAAATATTTCAAAACTTCCGTATTGGTGTCGATCCCGGATATGAACTCCATATAGACAAAGGAACTGGAACTGCAGGTGACAAAAAAGGCAATCTGACAAAACAAGTATTGATACATGGTTTTCTATCTCAGTCTTAATACCAAGTGTTTGCTTGATTTTCGTATATGACTT